CTGCTGGAGGGCTTGGCAGCGCGGAGGCAGCAGCCTGCGGCGCCGAGCGCTGCCGCCACGGCCCCTGTTCTCCAGGGACACCAGACCTGACCTTTACCGTCCCGCCCTGGGCTGTGCGCTAGCGCTGTCTGCCCGCGCCAAAGCTTGTTCGCGTTTGGCTTCACCGGCTTTAGCTCCAGCTCAACAACAACTGTAAAGTAAATGGCGGTCGAGCTTCAGAAATCTGTTTTCCGGCCTGTCTGTGACCCTTCTCAGACGTAAGAAGTACGTGTGGAACGACTGCGTGCAGCCTGTTCACAGCACCTAACGGTCTGTGTTGGTGTCTGCTGCCACCCTGTAGCAGCAGCAGACGTGTACGCACATTAGAGGTACGGAGAAGCCAAAGTCAGTCTGTGCCCGAGAGAACGCGGTGGAGCTGATCTGACACAAACCGCCTGCGGTGACGCAAGTTTTGTGCAGGAGGTCTGGGTCTGCAATGACTGAACGCTGCTGCCCCGCGTGTCGTTGAGAGGCAGTCTGGAGAAGGACGCGTAGCATGGCCTCAGCTGCCAGCTTGGGCGCCAGCCACATCTCTGCACTGTCCTTAACGTTAATGGTGGTGATCGTGCCTTGCTATCTGTGCCTTGTTTTGGAATAGCTTCTTAAAGAAGTAAGCTGTATTTTGTGTGCACCGGGAAATGATGAGACCCGGATTTGTTTCAGGAGCTAAACTGGCTTCTTTCTCAGCACTCCAGAGCTTCACTTGCACCAGGAGCTGCAGTCCTCTTTGTTGGGCTTTATATGAAAAAGCTGCATTGATTCCAGCAAGGGTGTGGTTCTTTGTTCCCATTTTCAGTGGTGAAACTAGTTCAGGAAGTTCCTGTGCACACACCGTGTGTTGGGAAGCTGGGTCACAAGGCACAGCTCTCCGGTCAGTTTTATCGGCGCAAATGAAGATGTGTTCTGCTGCGGCGCAGGGTGGTCCATAAACTAGAATTGCTTCTGAATCCGCTGAAATAAGCGGTACTGCTGCCTCATACCATTTCAACAGATCTAGCTAAAATATTGCAAATCTCTTCACAGAAACATTTAAGGATTTGAGAATCAAGGGGCCTCCTTGGCAACATTGGCAGAAGATTTGCCAGCTCTTGCCCTAAAGTGGGACCCTCTCTTGTGCTGATGGATAATCTGCGCTAAACTTCTGGAGTCGTATATACAAGTTTTATGTAGAAAAACCAAAAGCTTGAATTTATACATATTTTGCTGAACTAGCACATCACCTTACAGACACTACTTACACTTGCCATGACTTATTTTAGTTATGCTTATAGCGCTCTTTGTAGACTTTTATGCAAGAATAGTTTTTGCTGATCTGCTCCAAACATGGGCACTGTAGTCTGTACCATTGTGCTGGGGGAATGCAGTCCCAGTCAGATGGCTTCGCTCTTGGGAAAGTGGGACAATGCTACCACCAGATCGGCTAACACTAGTAATTTCAGTAACCAGCAGGGCAATTGCAGCCCTGCGTTCTCATCTACGCTGACTCCTTCACCATCGGTGAGAGCTCGAGATCTGGATGTGAGAAGAATCAGATTTGCAGTATTAAATTCAGATGGCTATGAATGTAATGCCGTTGACTTCAGGGTTTGGCTGAGCTTACAAGTCAGTGGCATTTCTGTGCTTCAGGGTAAAGCAGCAATGCTTCTATGTTGCATCCAGCTGCATGATTTAGGTATCAATAGGTAGATATTTATTGACTGATGGAAATGGCAAAAATAATCTGGTTAGCAGCAGTAATTATCTTAGATTAAAAAAGCAGTTGGTGGTAACCATTAACACATTCCAACAAAATGATACAGCTCTGCTGAGTCTCCCATTACAGTTTTAAAATGTTGATATTGTGAAAGAAAACATTAAGTGCTGATGGGAAGGGTGATACGGGAAGCCACGGTGGGAGATCTGGCACGAAGCTAAGGTCTGCAGAGGAAAGGATAAGAGAGAGTCACAGGCTCTGGGGCACTGGGATGAACAGAAGACTCATATAGACTAATAAAGTAAGGTGGGAGATACAGAACTCAGGGTTGTGGGAAAACCTGGAGAGGATGAGATGTGCAGAGTCATGGGTTTGTACTAAAGAAACCATGAGGTGAGAGGTTGAAGGATGAGAGGGAGGAAGCTTCAGGAACATGGGGAAGGAATAAATAAGAGGGGAGACAGATCCCTTGCTGTGCTGGGTTGGGGGAGGTGGTGTTAAGACCAACTCCTTGGCTTGAGGGAAGACGTGAATAGTTCCAGAAATTCCAAAAATTAGCACAGAAGGAGGTGTGGTGGGAAAGCACACCAGGTATATAAAGGACTGAGAGAAACAGTTACACTGAGATTAGCAAAGAGGTTGAAAATGAGAAAGATAGATGGAAGAGCAAGAAACAGAAGGAATACCTGATGAGAGAAATAGAGAGACACGGTGCTGGGAGGAACTTGGAGAGGTCCCCTTGCCCCAAAGCATACTAGTATGTTCCTGTCAGTAATAACACTGCTGTCATCTGGAAGATGACACTTTATGCAAAGACTCTGTTTGGTCAGGCCTGGGGATAACATACAGCCAGTGAGAAGCAACTGGAATGGCAGTACACAAATGCCAGGAGTCTGGGCAACAAAACACAGGAACCTGAACAACTGGTGCATGTTGTCAGACTGGATACTGATGGGATAAAAGAAACAGGGTAGAACAGGACCTGTGATTGGAAAACAGGCATTTTAGGGAATGTGTTTCTCAGGAAAGAAAAATAAAAGGTAATGGTACTATAGTAGCAACTAGAGTTGAGTGGCTTCAAAAATAAATGAATAAAATACTGCTTAATCAAGAACCCAAGAGGCATAATGGGAATTAAAAACACTTTTAGGGTGCAGTTTAATTTATGAAAGGGGTTACTGTATGCAATGGTAGCCTGCAGTAGTAATAAGCCAGGGAATCTGATGTTCCTAGATAGAAAAAGACAAAAAGGGATAAGGGGGAGGAAAAAAGAAATGCATAAACTGGAATAAAAATAAAAGATAATCACAATAAAGAAACACGTATCCTTTCAGAAACTGTCCTCAGAAACAGATAAGAAGGGCTGCATCCAGAAAACTACGCAGGTGTTGGGAAGGAAGCTCTCTAGAATAAATGAAGTTACACTTCTCCTGAAAGAAGACAAACTGAACAAGCAAGTATCGTATGGCATGCTCCAGTGTGATTCATTTCAGAAATGTACTTCTGGACTTTTTTTTACTATTTCAAATATAAAATGTTATTAAAAAGAAAGAAGTGGCAAGAAACTAAGACCTGAGATGGAAACTTTCTCTATTCCTTTGAGACCCTCTGCACTTCAAGCAAAGCAAAGATCACTAAGCAAACACTCTGTGTGAGGACCAAAGACATCATGTACCCCACTTCCCAGATGCTGAGCGGAGATGTGTAATCACTCTTGAAGATACATACATAAAGCATGGGATCATTGGGGTATGTTTTGCTCAGTGAAGCAGAAAGTTGGAAAACAAATCCAGCAAGACAAGTAGGGTCTCCATCCTTCCTACAGAAGGGGCGGAATTATCTCAGATGTTCTCTGACGTCAGACTAATACGTCAGATTTCAACTACCTCTTTTTAAAAGTGCAGAATCTCTTGTGCCAGCCATACCCCTAAACTTACAATAACTGCTATCAGTGAATGTTATTAGTTTCTTATGCCAAAAAGGGAGAAGGACAACCTCCAAAGTTGTCTACTGAAGCAGGTAGCCTACCAAGTAGGAATTTTGCAGCAGTCCATGCAAGGAGAGAACACGCTGCACCAGGCCCAAACAAACTGCGGCAGGACGAGGATGCCAGCCAGTATTTGGAGTATTCGGTGGCTGACTGGATCCCCAGCCCCAGCGCTTATGAAACGCACCCTGTTCCTTCCTGCCAAACCAATGAATGCGCGTGCATCAGTAAAGGATGGTGCAAGCTGCGAACCTGTTCCAACACAAGGAACAGTGAAGAGAAGGACGACGTGCACAGTCATCTCAAGAGAAATTTAGAGAAGCAGCATCACAATGAAGTTGGAAATACACAATGAGGGTCTTAAAGAACCAGATATACTACAGGATTTCACTGGGGAAAATTAATGCTACTTGTTTACCCTACATTCAATAACCTTTTCAGTTTCTTATTTGTAATAAAAAAAAATCACTTTTTGAGCAATACATATTTAAAACACAAATTTCACAGTGGGAAAAAAAATAGCCAGAAAAGAGAGTGTTGTCATGAAGAACAAAACAAAATGACGGCTGTTGCTCTACCCTCGAGGGAAGGCTGCGACAGCCAAACCAAACCCAGCCATCTCCAAAAACACAGAGACCTGAGCCACCGGGCGCGGGC